AAAGCTCTCAAGTGCAGTGCAGTGTTCATCCAGCTACAGTCGATTGTGAAACTGAATTTTGTGTCCGACCAAAGTCGCGAGACCAAAGCCTGCCCAGCTATAGGAAGACATCGGCAAAAGCTGGGCTGATGGTTCCAACAATGACGTGCTTGAAAGATTTGGAGATGTAACTAATGGGGTCAACAGCATGCAAGTCCGTTAACATCAACACCATTGCCCAGGAAATCGATGATTTGCAAAAAATGGCCGCAACCTGAGGTGCTGCCCTTATACTTTCTCTACTCACTCTCTACTCTGCGCTGCCCTGGTGCTGCTCTGCCTTGAGGTAATTCGTGACTTTGGAGCACCTGTGGAGCGCAAACAGGACGCAGAACAGGAGGAAGCAGGTCACCCTTTTACCAGGTCACCCTTTCCCTTACGTGCCTCAACTGCACGTGGGTGGGAGGAAAGTAAACAGTCAAATGAATTCAAGCCCGCAGGAGTTTCAGGCCCTGCCTGAGGCTCCGAGCTCTGTTGCGCCTGGCACAATCACACAGAGCTTTTGGAGTGTGGACTCCTCATCGAGATTGACTCGAACTCCCGCGTTCATCAAAGCAAAGCCCGGAGCTTGCACTTCGTGCAGATAGCGACACTGGAGACCATTTTGGGTGGCATCCGGTTTGGCCTTTTGAATAAAGAAGAAGACCTCCGGCTCACTCCGGAAGAGATCTCTCTTTACTTTGACAACAAGCTCATGAGGCGGGACAGGATTCTTAGCCTTGAGGGTAGTATGCCAGCTCTTCACTCAGAAGGATCTGCTACGAGAAGCTGTCCATGTGGTTGCCGTGAAGGTGGCTTCAAGTATTCTAGGCTGGAAACCTTAGGTCTTCGTGGACCGGTCGTGACATCAGCTCATGATGACATTGGATGCCGTCGTCCTCATCCGAAGGAGGTTGCATTGGCTTTGGGCTTTCCCCCTTTCATGGCTTCATTGGCCAACTAGAAGGCGATGTTGAGTGTCTTGGTCAATGCTGTTTCCGCTATGCAGGTTGTGTGGGCGGTGATGGAGGCTCAATCAGGGGGAACTCTTCCAAGGCTTTCTTTTGAGGTTTTGCCATCCAGAGATGTTTTGCTCAAGCATCAGGCAGAGGAGGGTGACATTGGTTTGCTGCTCGTGTGAGATGGACGGAGGACACGTTTCTGGTGCTCTTGCCTGACGCTCGCACTGGAACTATCTCGGCTGAGGTTCGTTGTGCAAGACTTATTTGGAGCTGAACCAATCTTGTTCAGAGAAAGGACTCTATCGGCACTTGCGATTGTCCACATGGCTCCTTGGGATCATTGACGCTGACGAAACTACCCAGCCATGGTATCAATTGCTCAAGTGGAGGACTTTTGCGCCGACTGGTGAAGGCAATTCATTTCAGGTGATTCCAGAATGGCTGAAAGACCTTCCTCTGCGAGAAAGGAGTGTGGAAAGAGAAGGTTGAGCAAAGGATTGGAGAAGCTCTTAAGGCCATCTTCCTTCAGCAGTTGGAGGAAGCCAAACAATCGGACAATCCTTGGCGAAGCTCAAAGTTCTCACTGATAAGGCAAAACTTTTAGGTGGGTCAAAGAGGATGAATTGCAGAGCTACATTGAAAGCAAAGCAGCCCAGTTTGTGGGAGTGCCCAATGCCAGACCTTTGGCGATTGTCTCGCCATCCCAGATGTTGGGTTTCCTGCAGGCGGCCAAACGCAATTTCTTTGGATGCTCTGGGTTTTTTGTCGGTCACAGTTGTGCCGGCGGATCTTCAAGGGCTTTTGCCATCAGGAGAAGATCGTTTTGCTGCTGAGTACAAGGCCACGTCGGAGCCCATTTTGCTCACAAGCACTTTGATCCAGATGGGAGATTTAGCCATTTCCAAGAAGTCATTGACGGGGGCAGTTCGAGTTGATACTGTTCCTACATGCACTTTGAAACTCCATCTGTACCGAGATGAGTGGCAAGGCGATTGGCAAGAATTCCAGCAGCGTCTGGTTGCGATCCTGCAAACACATTTTCTGGCTTTGGCCACCTGCAAATTCGGCATAATTGTGGTTTCTGTCGAAGTGGCACAAGGATGTTGGACAAGCAGCTCTTAAAGGTTTGGGGATGGTTCTTTCAGTGGGTCCCAGTGGGTGGCAAGGCATCGCCCAAAGGTGCCCAGCTGTTTGCTGTCCCAGTGGATCGCAGCCTTCCTCTTCAGCGTCTTTCTGGTGTTGGAGGACTTTATGTGGAACCCCGGGATGTGTCGGGAAGGGAAGCCAATCCTGATTTCCGAGTGTTGTGGATGTCACAGGCTTCTCGATCAGCGGTTGAAGTGGCATGCAAGTCACATGACAAGATCATCACCATTTGTCACCTTCATGAAGAGTTTGGAGTGAGGGTGAAAGCGTTGCTCCCTTCGAAGGTATTTGTGGATTGCTAGCCCAACGATGTCTATGTCTCGCTCCCCTTGCCGGTGGGGTGCTCCAGCTGCTGAAGCCCACGCAACTGAAGGGAGCTGGCAAGGACATTTCTTGGCTGGTTGCTCAGATCGCTCATCCGCAGGTGTTCACTGCGGATCATGGAGAGGTCATATTACCCTTTGCTCTTTTGCACCCAGGCGTAAAGACGTTGATCAAGATTGATCAAGTGATTGCATCTGTCCAGACGAAACACATCGCAGGCCAGTCGACGGCTCCGAAGGAGGATCCTTGGATGACGAATGCTGATCGATGCAGTGGAGGAGTTCACATCATCCTCTCCTCCTCCGACGACGACTCCGATTCCAATGGCACGGAAACCACATCGAAGCTGGAGCAGCTACAACAGGACGTGTCAGGCCAGATCTCCAACGCTCTCCAAGAACTGCAGGCAGAGCAAAGTGTTTGCCCTCAATCCCTTGCGACGAGTGTGGCAAGCTGTACTCGTGAAGTCCAGGCAAAGCCAGACTTTGCGTCTGGAGAGAGCGGTGGTTGGGGAAGGCTCCTCGCTGTGATGATTGACCACATCGTGCATGGCTCCTGCAGAGTGCCAGGTGATGGAGTGAGGAGCAATTGTGGCTCTTGGTGGAAGTTTTGGTTCCTTTTGGTTATTAGCAGTCTGTGGCGTGATTCGGCTAATGATTCGGCTAATGCAAGTATGCGGGAAGAGCAGATGGATGGTGGGCTTTGGGCCAGAGGCGCTGTCCGGAGTGGCACCCATGAGGTGAGAGAGCTCCTGTGATGGAAGGGCAGTAAGAGCGACGCGGAGACAGATGTATCTGATACATCTGTCTTTAGACTCTCCCGGTGCTAGAGATGCCGGCCACCAACCAATACGTCATCTACATCATGGTGATCCTGGCAGGCTTGGTTGAGGAATCCGATATGGAGAGGCCGTTGGGCGGCAAGTGTCAGCTTTGGTTTAGACAACGGAGACGACTGCAATCTTTGACCAAGACAGCAATTTCGTCCACCGCATCTACTTGGCCATTTACAGAAGCTGGGCTACAGCTTGTGCAAAACCATTACTGGCACATTTGATGACCTAGGTTCCATTCTAAGCGGCATGGAGGCGTCATTCGCACGCCAAAAAACTTGAGTATCTTGAGTATACCAGGTTGCACCGCTACTGAAACTGCTGGCAAAACCTCTTTACGCCTAGCAGGGCGTGGCAAACCATGGCAAATCTCTGATTTCGATCATCCAAAGTCCCTGATGCCCTGACAGGCAGGAGGTGTGCAATCCACACTGAAAACCCGGGCCCGTTCGGACGATTCGAACCGTTCGGACTTTCCGCGATCGAAAAAGACAGCGCGCAGCGGTGCGGCGCCTGACACGGAGGATTCATGGATCCTGACACGGAGCCATGGATCGATGAAGGCAGATCAAGTCTCCTTGTTTTCATGCAGACATTGACCCATCAGTAAGACTTCAATGGGCGGGCCAATTCCCCCGTGCATGCAACATCATGTGACATCGCGCGATATGTTTTTCGGCACCAAAGAGCAACGAGCAAGGTTGACAGCCTGTGGAGGGGGGTGGCGACGCCATGGCTCTGAGAATCTACGGTCTTTGTACGTCCAGCAGGCCAATGTGGCACCACTTCCTCCGGTCAATTGGCATTCGTGAAGGTACGAAGAAGGGTGATGCTATGCCGCTTGCTCTCTGTGCAAAACGTATCGCTTGTCTTGAAGGATGTTTAGAGACCATGCCTTGATTTCTCGGTCTGGGTGAGGAAGTTAGCCAGGCTGACATTCCTTTAAACCTGTCACAAGGAGATTTGCAAATGGCTGTGCGGATATGTGTTGGTTCAAGAATCTCAAGTTGAAAGCAAGACACGAGGTATAGCCAGGCCAGCGGTGATGATCATAAGCTAGTTGAACAGCACACATGCACTCAAACACTGGAATTGTCAATATCTTGCCAAAAATGGGTTCCTGCTGCTTTCACGTTGCGGCCGATTTCTGTCAGTCCGTCCTTGAGTTTCTACCTTGAAGCTGGATTGTATTGAACCCTTCCTTTATTCCCTAACACTGCATCATGTCTGTCCAGTTTGGCTTCTACCCACTGACAGGCAATCAGTGAAAAGCACAACTCGCATTTGTTCTCAAGCCGCTCAGACCAATTTTGGAGACAAACTTATGTCTCTCACCGAACAGGCTGCCACAGCACCGGCTTCAACACGATTCGCGGTTTATCGTTTTGCCTTTTTTCGGTGAGATCCCAAAAACCCGCTCAGAGCGGGCTATTTGTGGCGCCTAGCCTCGTGAAAAAGAAGTCCCGAAGAAACTGGTAGGGTGGATGACTCTTGGTGTGTTCGAAGCCTGCAAAGGCACAAAAAACATCAAAAAACTAGTGCTCTAGACTGAAGCATATCAAACACGCATGTTCATGTGTATTTCTTCCAAACTGTTGTCATGGTCATACAAAGGCCCGCATGCCAAACAACACATGAAACAAAATGTCATGGAGCCGGAGAAGCAAGATGTGGAGAGGCAGGCAAGTTAGTTCTACCTTCTCCAGATCTAGGATAGTCCAGGCAGTGCAAAAAGAAAAACAAGAAGTGCTTACGGGGTTGTTTTCCGGTCAGCCAGGCTCCAGTAAACAGCCTATAGCTACAAGAGCCGAGCTCACATCAAGCTCCAGGTGGAGTTGTCCTTGGTACGGCAAAGCTGAAGCGGCCCTCCTCGACACAGAAAGCATCTATCCTAGAGAGAACCAAAGCCCCCTCTGTAGTCACAAGTTACTCCAACAACATCCCTTCTGAAGTAATTACTTACTTTTCCTGGGACCCACTTCAAGAGAACGCAGGGCTTACTGGCACGGTGGCTGTGAGGGGGTAGAGGAGTCCAAGATCTAAAGGTTTCCAGAAGTTGATTTTCCACATCCATCTCAAAGTCTTCCAAGTCTTCAGTCTTCCGCGAAAAAGGAGCCGTTTCCAAACCAACCTCGAGACCAATCCAAATGGATTCTCGCATATTGAAGCTCTGAGCTCTGGCATTTGCGGACGAGCAAAAACATACGTCCCCAGCAACCGAGGAGCTGGTCATAGCAAACGTCTCGCATACGTGGGGGACTGGAGACCCTAATGGAACTCATGAAGTGGAAGGTAACTTGAAGGTGAGATTGCCAATTGCGAGTGCCAGGTGGCAAACCGAACTAGAGAGCTTTTGTCAACTGAGAACGAGAGGTGGAAATCAAAGACAGTCAGGTCACTCTTGGGTCCTTCGAGATGGGCAAAGGAAGATGTCTTCATCATAGAGGCAGCTCATCTTGGAGACCGAGGCAAACATATTTTGATCTTCAGGCAGCTCATCACTGGGCAAGTTGGGGGAGCAATCCAAGCACTCGAGGTGAAGGATTGAAGGTCGTGGACGGTCTGACGATGTGACAGGAATGGAACTGCAGGGACTGCAGGGCTATGGGCTGTGTAAGACCGGCCAACCTGAGCTGCTCCTGAAACGAAAAACCGGAGCAGCCTTCTTTGATGTTGAAAAAGACAGCAGTCTGATAAGACATGATGAGACCAAACGACGGACGGTGTTGGGACTCCAAACGACCCTGAGGCTAGCGCTATCTGGCTCAGAAACTTTTGGCGATGGAAGTTGGAACAAGGTAATTTGTTTGACAACAATTACTATTACGCAAAAAAATCTCAACTGCAACACTCAGGTCCACTGCTTTTGCTGACATACTCATATCCATATCGGATCTTGACTGCCCTGATCCCACCAGCAAAGTCTGAACAACACAGCAATGCATGCCCACCCGTGAAATGGCTTGAAATGCATGCTGACCCTCGAATAATGGCTGATTTTGGATCCTATACCTCCGCTTGGACTGGGAAACAGAAACACCCGCAGTTCGGCATCCCATCTGAGAGATGGTACTCCACGCTTTAAACACGGAGGTCCAAGATTGGTTGTAACACCTGCATCCTTGTCGTGCATGTCCGATCTGCCTCCAGAGCGCACGGAAGATTGGAACCCCACTCTTCCTGAGGATCCACACGTAAGATTCTTACAAATTGTGTTTCCATCCTGGTGAGGTCTGCAACCCCAACAAAGTGATCAATCAGAAAAGCCCTGATTTGAGGTTCTTGTTTCGGTTGGCTACTTCAAACCCAAGACCTCCTGTAGTCAACCAAGCATGACAATTGGAATCTTCTCCGCACCTCCAGCTCCTCCGAATCTGATGGACTTTGAACACTGATGGCTACAGCCATAGGAATGGTAACTGGTCAAGAAAAATAGATAGCTCATGTTCTCGTGCTGTTTAACTCAGTTTCAATCAGGTTGTATTCTATTGTATTCTGGGTCCTGAGCACATCCGAACTTGTTTTAACGCCGTGTCAAAGTCAGCCAGGTCTTTTGGATGTTCTTTGCGACCCTGGTAGGATCCTTCGACCCTACATCTGTGATCCTGATAAGGCCGGTCCCAAAGACCAGAAAGTTTTGACATCGGCCCTCTTCATCGGGCGGCTCGGGTGGAAAAATGTCGCACAGTTGAATTGGAATAATGGGAATGCACTTTTCGTGCGCCGTTTTCAACTCAAAGTAGGTCTCATAGCGTGCGGTGGTTTTGGCTCCGTAGTCATGACTGCAAAATGCCACCATGGCAAGGGCATAGTAAAGGCCCTTCGTGGTCGCTTGGCCGAAGTCACCACTAGGTGATTGTCCTTCCACCATGTAAGTTTGGACTCCCAACCGTTCGAGTTCCGCTCTGACTGCTCTCATGTAGCTCTTGCTCTCTGGATTATTGAATCGACCAGAAAGGAACAAGTGCCTGCCATTTGCAGGAGCCACGGGTATTGGCACTGAGATTCTGCCAGCCTCTCTTTCAACAGCCACGGAATCTTTGTGGGACTCTTCTCCAGAAATAGTCGCTGCACCTTGAGGAGTCTTCCGTGTAGACGGCTTTGGTCCAGAACGTATGGAACTCCAAGGTCCAACAAAGTTGTGGAAGGCATTCCGGTCAGCCACCGCCCAAGAAATTCGACTGGCCGTTTGTTGATCGTTCAGCAGCTTTTGCTGACTTTCTGGATCAAACAAGAATTCTTGGAGCTTTGAAAGTGGGATCTCAGCCTGCCGATTTTCTGAAACAGTGGCCTCAAGCTCATTCTCCGATCGCATACCTCCAACTCCGAGGAAACGCTTCAGCTCCGCAACAGACATGGTGCCCTTGCAATCTCCATCCAAAAGGCTCAAGAACTTCCGGAGCATGTCGTAAGGATCTGTAGCCGAATTCTTCAGGTCTTCAAGCAAAAGGTCGTGCAGGGTAAGGATGCCAATCGGTTTGGTCGATGGTGTTGACACCTCTGTCGGAGGCACTGGGAACAATATGTGGATCCTACGAACTGGGCAACAAATAAATCCGAACAGTGTCATACCGGGAGTTAAAAGTGGACCTTAATCAGAAGCAACAGGAAGAACCGTGACAGGCAGGCCGAAACCCAATTGAAACAATTTCTTCTGGCCTTCATCGTTGTCGCACTCATCCCAAGCATCCTCATGGCTTGGCCGAACTTCTCCGCGGGCATCCCAAATCCATCTTGGTCAAGTTGCGTAACGACCTTCTTGATGGCACTGATGCTCAGATTCCACATGACTTCCTCTGGACTCAACGCATCAACGTATTCCAATACATCCAGCCCGTCATTGAGGCGTTTGCAAATATGTCGGGCTGCTTCTTGATCGTCCTCGCAGCAGGATGCGATCACTACCTGGTGCTTTGCATCTTTTCGCAGCCACTCCTGGAGCTCCTCCTCCAGTCTGTCAATGGGGCATTCCAGACCTTTAAGCAAGTGATATAAGTCAAAGCTCTTCTTCTCACATGCATGCTGTAGGTCTTTGTCAAGACAGCGGAGCTCTTCCCCAGTGATTGAGTTCAGCATCTTTGGCTGTACGCCCACCAGTAAAATTTGGCTAGCACCACGCTTGGCACAGGCATTGATCGTACTGAACGCACGGTGTCTAAAGATGTCATACCATCGCAAATCTGTGACCTGTGCGCAGAACGTGTGTGCACATGTACACCAACAGGGAGAAAAGCTGTTTGGCAACTTTTTCCGATGGATGTCTTTGATTGATAAAGTATATCTGGAAGATCCTTAAGCACTACCAATCTGCCTCAAAAGAGCGGGACCACCAAACCAATCCGTTTTCATCTAATTACTATAGTTCTTGTTTGCAGGGATCTTTGGGTGGTCCACACACATATTCACCCAGTCTGTTGGTGTTGCTGACTTCCTGCCTGTTTGCAGCGGACGATCTTGGTAAGCTTCTTAGCCATGTCAGAAGAGAAGGCCAGGCCCAAGGCAACACAGATTCTTCGCACCAAGTCGGACGTGACCTGCTCGACATGCTCCAAGCACAAAGACCTTTGTGCGACCTGCGCTCTAGCAATATTGGCATCTGTCCAGATGTGAAGAAAGAGATCTTCGGAGACTTGATGCCATTTTCCCCTTTCTTGGGCAAGGACTTGGTACAACCCCGGGTCCATCTTTGTCAGCAGCTCTGAAAGATCCACCTCAATCACAACAGGCTCTTCCCACTTCAGCCTGACCTCAGGTGGGTGGTGGATTGCTGAACCTGTCGATGTCTGCTCTGATGCAACTTGCGGGGATGCATGTTGTCTGGGACGAGCTACCTCTGCGCTGTCCGCATCTCGGTCAAGTTGAAACTCACAGGTTTCATCATCAATTTGAACTTTGAAACTCCCAGACCGAGCTGAGAGCTTTGGAGAGACAAAGGGAAAGCGCTGAAATTTCAACTGGATCGTCTTTTGGAAAGCTCCTGGTTGCGAGAGCTCCACTGTATCCCCATCGTTACGCTCGTCCAGCAGCTCTGGATCTCTGCATTTGGTAAAGTCCTCGAGAATATCAGGATCTTTCTCACGGTTTCTCAGTCTTTTCGTACAGTCGTGGCATTCAACGTGTGCCAAGACTATCTTTGCACTTGGCTGCTTGATGTAACCCAAAGCCTTTATTTCCACCGGTTCACCAGCAGGCTGCATACTACAAAAGTGGTGTAAAGAGGTGATCATGATGTTCTGTCTGATGTGAACAGGCACCTGCTTCCAGCCACTATCAGTGGTGCACCAAGCATGCTTCGCACCACGACACACGGGCATGACTACATGAACTTCTTCAGAGAAGGTCACGTTTTCAGGCCAGAGCCTCAACAAAGGACCCATAGGCACCATGCCAGCAGGCAAAGCCGGGGCATCATAGTCCTCCAGGACTTCGAATCCCAATGAGTTTGATTGGTGTACCGATTTGCTGCTCATCATCACAATGTCATCCCGTACCGAGCAAATGGCAGTATTGTCCAACTCTATATCTAAGTAAGTGTGTCCCTCTTCCCAGTCAAAGCCGATCTTCTTCACAAAGGGTGCTGATTGAAATTCCTCAACGTTGTGCAAGACCTTGGCTCATCAATGATTGATCTCACTAAATTAGCAGCGCATAGTAACTGTTAGTAACCCGTCGTTCCAGCGCTAGGAGGGCTTCCAATTCCTGATTCACAAACATCGTTTACATCAGTGTCCACTAAAAAGGGGGCAAGGGTTTTCCGATTTGATCTTTGGGAAGGGTGCAAACCTCCTCCAAGTTGTGCCAGGGACTGTTAGCCAACTCGGCAACGCAGCTTTGGAAGAGGTGCACTTTTCTACATAATCCAAAAATGACAATAATGAATGAGATTTGCCACATGTTGGCACAACCTTAAAGCAGCAAGAAGCTAGCAAAAAGGAATCAGCGTAACTCAAAATTGAGACAATGACGCTCGGCAAGTATCTAAAATCTTATAAAATCTAAACAGTGCACATTGTGTTTTCCAGTAGTAGCAGTGGCTCCTCTTATCTTATACGTGCTACTAACTCTTATCATGTCTCTTTGCTTCCAGTGTCTATATGATAACAATTCAATCCGCCCCACCTTCTCACTTCTTCTATATGGCTTGACAGCTCAGCTGATTGATCGTGTTTCAGTTCCAACCCAAATAGTCACCTTGCCGACCTCCAACCTCATTCTCGAAACCCATTAGCATGGTCTCCAACAACTGTGCTCCGATTCGACAAAGCCAAGACAGCTGCTGGCTGGGCTGCAGGTTGTTCTACAAGATCCGAAGCCTCAGACCGCAGACCAGGACAAATGTTGTGCACTACATGTGTGAAGCTGCTGTGCAATCGTGTCAGTAACAGCAGGGCAGGGAAGGCCGTTCCAAAGCTATTCTCATAGTTCAGCCAATCATGAAGTTGGCAGGTCCCGAACAACGTGTCAAATGACACTGCTTGAACAAATGATGAAACTTTTCAAGGCTGAAAAGGTGGAAGTGACGTGTTTCACGTCCATGGAAAACAGCAAAATCCCTATGTCAACTGCCAATAATAAGCATCAACAAACTCATCCATAACTGACAATGTCACGTTGAGCTGGCTACGGCATATTCAAAACCTTCATCTTGAGCTTCTTCCTGGCACTGGGACACGGGATCACGTGCAGCAAACTTGAGACATGAGGGGAAGCCAACTTCTTGCGTCGTCTAAAGGTGCATGGATGTGGGGCATTCGTCGATCCATTCTGGTGGGTCTTGTTGGCAGCCTCTGCAGTTAGGTTGTGGCACGGGCATGCAGCAAGATCCTTCATGAACTGCTTTCAAAACCTTGGACAGGTGTCCTGACTGAAAGGGCATGGAAATGCCATTCCGTTTCCGTTTCGAAACACCGCCGCAACGTGGCCACGTCTCTGGAACTGGGCCTCGCCAAGCTCTTGAAAACTTGGACTCTGGGCCGTGGATCTGCTTTGTGTAGAATCACAGCTACACGTAGTGGGGCGTTGGCATGTTTTGGTCAGGTGACGTTTTGCACATTGTGCAGGACTAGACTATACAACGACCTTGTCCCAACTAGCTCAACCCACGTCTGCCATCAAATGGAGAAGTTGGCCTGCATGCTGCGACGTGCGTCCGCCAATTCACCAGACTGGCAGCCAACAGCCTCAGCACCACTTCTGCTCACTCCACTACCATTCTAGTACCTAGCCAATTTCCGGACATCAAAAAGCCTCATCCTTCCACGAAACATAGTACAGCACAGTACAGTACATGACATGAACAAATGAACGTGAATAATACTTGGGATTACTTGGGGAGTTTGGGTACTCGGGTACTGGCTGCTTTTAAGGTGATCCTGACTTTGTGAAAAAGTTTATCCTTGTCTCTTTGGATTCTCTGTTCTGTGACAGGCACGGCACCATGGAAACCATTTCAGTCAGACTATAGAGGAGTGCTGCTGTGAGCTGACACCCAACGATGTCAAAAAGCACGTGTTCCACTCCGTAACAGCAAATTCGAAACCACTGCTCACGACAACTAGCAAACGTTGGGCGTTCTTTCTGTCTAGTAGATGCACAACCATGGTTTTAAGGTGATTGCTTGCTGAGCTGCAGGATCTGGAGATGAGACCTGACACCAGCACAGGCACAATCAACTTCGATCAAACTCCGTTAAGTAGCCCAAGAAATCCGAAGCAAAGTACTTGAACGCGATGGTCTCATTTGTTTAGAATTTCAGGTACCAAAGGGCGGACCAAGTATTCCTTTTGACAAGGAGGCCCTGAGTTATACCCATGTTGATCATCCAAGTCCATGTAGAATGTGCTAGTATGAGAACGCACCGATTAGCTTCATCCAAATCATGTTTGCCGGATCTCCTCTATTGTCGTTTGCCTGCAGAACTGGCTGAACGGGAATAGCGTGATTGTAGAATCCCAACAACAGGGCCAGCGATCGTAAAGGAGCTTTATAAGTTGGAAAATTAGGTCTGATGACTCTTCTGACTGGTGGCCCATTTAACGAAGAAGCGAAGAATAGCCCGTAGGGGCTCATGCTTTCGTCAACATCAACAAGTTGGACCTCCACACTTCCATGTGCATAGCCAGCGCCCTTCTCGAGAAGCTGGCTGCTGTCAGCCTCAGCAGTGCTTCCGTCCATTTCGCTGCGGCCTTCGCAAAGACACCAAATTCCAAAACAAGGTGTCACCTGGTATGCAAGGGGTAAAGAAGGAGAGGTTCAAGGGCACAGCAGTCTGCAAAAGCTCGGACCCCAAAGTCGACACATCCGGGCAGACCAGGAAAGGGACTATAAAAATCTATAAAATAGTACAATTTCTGTCATGCATGTTTGTTGCCTAGCATTTTGCTGTAATCCCACGCTCCATATTGCGGCGCTGAAATACACAGTGACGTAGTGAAGATTAGAGAAGTAAATATATATTTGTTAAAAGCTGATTGCAGTCTGGGCTGAAACCTGTATCAAGGAGCCAAAAAAGGAGATACTTCAGTACAATTGTCTGAATCTCAGGCTCGCACCTCTGTACCACTCGGACCTGCACGATGAGGACAGATGAGGTGCTGCGCAACAATCTTACTGAAACAAAGAGTGAACATCTGGAACCCAACCCACAGCCTTCTGAAGCTGCTAGCACCTGGACCGGCTGGAGCTCCCCAGAAAGACTGGGGAGGTCCCATTCGGACCAAGTTCTGCAGCTAACGTCGAACGAAGTTGCAGTTTTCTGTCACTCAGTTTGCTCCAACAAGTTGGAATTTGACTCGTGAGAAAGCCGGCCGGGGACTGCACTGAAGCCTCAGCTCGAGGAGCTGAAGATGTGACCTGACACTGTTTTCTGGAAGTAGAAGCTCACAAAGGTCCTACTCACAGTATATTCATGAAATAGTGAGTAGGACCTCTGGCAAGACGGGAACATGGTTCTTTTGGTTGTTTCTTTGGCTTCGGATCTTGAACACCGAAGAATCCAACAAAACCAACGTGCAAAACTTGTCCCCACGACGTCGCATTTGGGCACTCCTCATCGTCGTGGACCTCAGAGGGGCACCAACACTGAGGAAAATGCGATATCGCATGTGGACTCGGTCGGTTCCACGCCACCATCTCAACAGGCCCTGTGAGATCGGTCGAGTCGAAGACTGACGGTCTCTCACACTGCTGTGCTGTCAGGCCGAAGCGATGGCGGTCACGTAGCTGGCATAGCCAATGCCAGCGTCCTGCAAAGTCACATGCTCTTTCCTGGCAGGGCGATGGAAGATGCATCCGATGCATCCCGTGTCAAGAAAAAGGATTGAACATCCGGGCAAACAAAAACCATCCTTGATATTCCTATATATTCCTTGACCTTCTCAAATCCCAAGGACAGGTGGTTGAGGTCTCGATGGTCTCAAGATTTGGCGAACATTGTGATCTTCGTATTTCCGTGCTTCAACTGCTTTGAAGAGTTTGTTACCCTCCTTTGCCCAATCGAAAGAAATGTCTCCAACAAATATATCATGTTCATTTGGACTTGGCTTCAGCTCATTCCAGCCAAAACCCCCGCCGCTCAATTCCAAACATGCAGGAGGCACAAAGTCGTTCCAGAACTTGTGACGAGGTGGTGGATCCTAGTCCCAAACTTTGACCTTGGCCAAGATTGACACCGCATCTGGACTTCTAAACCACCATAGAGCTTTATTGCAGAATGGTTGAAGCACTACCCCTACATCGTGACATTCATCCGCAGCATTGTTATTCAAACCTCACGCATGCAGTTTCGGCATGCTTCAGCTAGCCTTGGTCTGGCAATCCTCCTTGATTGAAAAATCGACGGATCAAACACAAGCTTATTATTAGAAAGGCAAGGAATTGATTCAATGCACGGGTGGGTCCCTGGGTCCCTAGGCCAGTAGCATTCCAACATTTCGGCAGCACGTTCATTCGATATCCTTTGATCCCATACACCCAAAGCACTAACCCAAGGTGCTAAGTCTCCAGAGATCTGGCACATCAAAACTCATAAGAGACATCTAGTTTCTCCAAGTTGCTGGGCTTCTTCCAGCAGTTCACGTACGGTGCGGCTGAGCTCCGGGTCACCTCGCACAGCCGAACATTTACAGCAACTTACGTGAAGTTGGTCACTTCTCGCAGGAAAACCCTTCAATCTGAGCTGAGTGGACGTTCCTAAGGCACATGTTCTATATTTCAGCGAAGACTTCAATTGCGCGAGTGGTAGAACATGTTCTCAGTTGCACTTACTTGGCCTTTGGTTGACCCGTGCTTTGTCTTTCTGTGGAGCACCGGGCGGAAAAAAATACACCAGCAATTTCCTGTCGAAAACGCAGGAGGAATACGTCCATTAGGTAAAACATCTAGATCTGCAAAAAATTACACATACATTAACACAACAATATTCTACCATATACAAGCGGAATCTTTTTGATACTAAACTCAAAAACTGTATGTATTTCGTGGGAACCCTAAGCCCGATCTTCTTTAATTAGGCTACTTTAGTAGGAGGTCTAGTTTCACTGTCACTCCTTCAGTCAGACCATATTATAGAGTAGCAAATCACTAGAAGTCGTTGTCATCAACCAAGGTATCTCGTGGATGTGGGGGTCCTATCCCGTTCACACGCGAATACTGATAAATGAACAAATAGTGCGTGCCTTGTACTTGAGTAAAGGCTAATATGAATATGAATCTAAGAGCTAAGCGGGCAACACGGGTTCAAAGGTTCCAAATGGCCATTGGCCCGGGTCGACTCAACTGACTTGCGGCCAAATTGCAGGGCACAGTGCGACCACTCAGCAGGCCCACCTGGACCTGAGCAATTTGCCAAGCCATGACAAGCGTTGATTAGTTTGGTTGATGGTATGATGGTAGGATATGTTTTCCCAGTGGGAAGGAAAGACAGTGTCACCAAATATTTGTCCGACCTGCGCCCTGACAAAAACCAAACATGCAGGAGTTAAGCAAGCAAGCATCATGAGCTTCAACTTGAAACTAAGCGAGCAAAAGTCTTTAATTGCCAGAACAAACTAGACTGGCCAGCTCAACATCGGAGGCTGACAAAACAACCAATCCGCACATGTATCCTTGGTGATGAGCCATCTGCTCAATTATACCGGAAACCGGAAACCTCTGTGTACGTATCAATATTGGCACATAGAATGCACTGCATCTATAATCATCTATATATATAATTATATATATATACAAATTGCCAACCCTCCTCACCTCCTCCGCCACCAATGTGCCAAATCTAAAATCTCTCATCATCTCTCAAAGGTTGAAAGAAATTGTGCGAGAAGAAAACTCGCGACCAATCCGCTTGAGACAAAACCCTTGCTATCCACAAATGTTAAAGATTGTGCATCCAGCAACCTACGTTTCAAGATGGAAATGACAAACGATCAAAAAAAACGGTATGATGGAAAGAGCTACCACAAGTCATCGCCAATCCAATTCCAAATCTCTCTGTAATCTAGCCAGTCAGAACCAGACCCCTAAAACAAATTCATGCACTGAACTTAACCTGATGAATACATCTCGTCCAGTTCACCGATCCTTCTGAAGAGAATCCCCCAAACGAAACCCGTTCTACCCTCCGACCCTCAGCCCATCACCCGACTTGGCACCGAGGCACGGGACGCAGAACGAACCCCATCTGCGTTTGTTTGCCGTTCGCTTCGGCGTAGGCCCAGGGGGTCACACCTTGGCGCTCTTCAGCGAGCGACCGCCATCGACGCCAAGAGTCCTCGACCGGCTCCGCCCCGCCGTCTTCGTCGCGTTCGCTGTCTCCGGGCGCCCCGGGCCGTAGTCGTTCTTGGCGTCGACGTCGGCCCGGAGGGCCACCAGCCGCTGCGCCGCCTTGGAGCGGCCGTGGTAGGCCACCCGGTGGAGGGGCGTTTCACCTCGGTGAGGCGGAGGAAGAAGAGAAGGAGGAAAAATCCTCTTTTGAAGGAGCGCATGGTCTTTGATTCTATTTTCGGCTTTGGATTCAAGATGATTCAAGTATGACAATTTGTTTGTGATTCGATCACAAGGGATTTGAGTACTTTTTGCTCTCATTGACGTCTCTTGAATGTTCTTTTGCTTCGCGCGATTCACATTCCAACGTATTTTGCACAAACAAAACCAGGCATTGATCGTAGCAAACCAGGCAAAAAGTCTCATCCAAGATGCTCCATCCACTCATCAAGGACACATCCTTCCAACCGGACCCTTTTGACCAGATATATACCCTCTTAACCCATCTTAATCCCATCTTAGTTTCAACGAATCTCAAGTCCCACAACCTGACTCTCCTTCCAACCGATGTTTCTTCGTCACTTCTCTCGTCGCCCTGAGGCCGATCCGATGCCCCAAGGAGGTTCCAAGGCGTCCGGCCTCCGTTGGTCTTCGCGTCGACGGCGGCGCCAGCAGCCACCAGCCGGTCCATGATGGTGGTATGGCCATTCTGCGCCGCGCAATGCAGCGGTGTATTGCCTCGCCCGCGCAGCATCACAGAGTTCAAGGAAGTTCAAGGGTCGTCAAAGTCACCGCGTGGGGCGAGCGTGAACAAGGTTATTGGTGCTGTCACTTGAACAAGGGTAGCTCAGCTGGGTTTTCCAAGTGGGCTCGAAGACAAACGAGGTTCTTTTTAGACGGTCAACGAAGCGGCGCTCAAGGTCGTGCTTCTTTCTCAAGCCATGTGCTCAGGTCTGGGCAGGTGCCCACCGCTAGTGGTGGATGGGGATCGTAGTGCCAGAATGGCCGTGGAGCATGAAACATCATACTGTGCAAACAGTGGCATGAGTTGTTCGTGAAAAACTCACACCGGTAAAGGGGTGAAAAGCAAAATGAAACTCAAGCGGCAGGCTAGTCGACCAGCCACTCTTCATAGCTCATTTAGCCCCACTGCTGGCGCCAACTGCCCATATCTTCTGCCAGGGTCGTGCCGGAGAGGCTATTGACCACATTGGGTGTCCTAGGTAGAGGTTCGCAGAAGTGGCAAGTCGGTCTGCGATCGACTCTATGGGCCTGTCTCAGGCCTTGACATCCTGAGTTGGAGTGCCAAGCATGGCCAAAGGGCGTCACCAAGATCCCATGCTCGATGGGGCATTCTTCATGGAAGTGGTGCAGCAGCTCGATGGTCCATTGTTCCATCATCTGGCGTCGCCTGTTCTCCAGGTTCTTCTCGGCAGCTTTCACGAGGTCGTTCTCGAGTTGAGCTATGCGGTGGTCGAGCCGAAGGTCTTTTTCATCCAAGGCGGCATCGAAGTGTCGCTTGTTGCGCGCTTCTGCCACACGGAGCTTGACCTTCAAGTCACTGATCTGGCTTTTGCGCTCTAGGCATCTTCCGAGCTTGTAGGACAGGTAGCACAGAGCGAGGATGGCGATCGTGATGAAGAGCGCCGTGCACCAAAGGAAGTACCATCCATTGTCGGGGTCATCTTCCGAAGCGCAAACTTCTTCACTGACCAACTGCGTGCGCTCACCAGAGAACTCGGCAGCGACGGCCTTGAGCTGGGTGAAAAATTACCAGCAATGCCATCGGGGACCTCAGAGGTGTAGTTCCCGATCTCTCACTGTCGTTCTCGTGGGTGAAGATGTCCTCAACTGCCAGTTCATCTTCTGAGTGTGTCTCTTCCTGCACGCTCTCTAAGTTGCTGGTGTGGTTGAGTTGTAGGTTGTCGTTGGCGGTGTTGTTCTTTGTGGGCTTCTTCTTCTTTGACTTGGGGTCGGCAAACTCTTGCCGGCTTTCTTCTCTTTCCTTCTTGCTCTTCTTCTTGGCAGCGGTGCAGTGAGGGTCCCAAGCTAGTTTGATTTTGTGTCGCCTGATGCGATCAGCCAAGAGTCCTCGGGTTGAACTCTTTGTCAACCCAGCAGCAAACTGTCTCTCAGAGCTGATCCATTTGAGGCAGTCACCAAGTTCACATACTGGTTGCTTGGCCACTTTGATCTCCAAGTAGGTGCGTTTGTCCACTGAAGAACTTGCTGAAGTTGCTGTTTCCTTGTGCCAGGCATCATACAATGCTTTTGCATCGGTGATCAAGGTGGGCTTCAGCGCTGAGACTTCATGGAGTCGTTCTCGAAGAGGAGGTGCTGGGTCGAAAATGATCGACCCGAAGCCGCTGATGTATTCAGCTGTATCGCTGGCTCCACCTGCTGCTTGAGCTTCTGCACTGAGACTCGAGCAAGCGACGCGAGGCAACTTGTAGCTTCGCCAGTCCACGATGTGGTATAGGGAGTCTCCTGCTCGAAGGAAGCCTCAGGCACTAGAATGGCCAGGTGGCCACCTTGAGAAGAGTGATCTTCTCGTGCAGCATGTGAAGCATCAAACATGATCACCATGCAGTCTGACCTTGTGGAGGCCGTTGTAGTTCTTGACGGACTGGAAGGGCTCATACTTCAAGGTCACATCGGCGTTCTCCTTGGCAAACTTGAGGAGCGCATTTGCTTCCATGATGGCTCGAAGCTTGCCACTGCGTTGTCGTCGACTTATCAAGCTGCAGCTAGCTTGGACCGAGATGAGGTTGTGATTGGACTCCAGGCCATTGGAGACTTCCAAGCAGGGCACGAAGATGTGCTTTGTCTTGGTCATTCATCGGGTCTTCAGCCCCACGTCCACGGTGCAAGGTCACAGGCTTGACCTTCGGGAGGAAGTGCTTTTGGGAAAGAGTCCATGCGAAGTCCTCTCGTTGGTGTAGAACTCCACAGTATTCCATGGTCTCTGAATCTTTCTGCCACCTTCTGAAGTCAAAAACCTCTTTCAAACGACGTTCAGCTCCAAGGTAAGTGGGGCAACTTCTGTCTCCGGCGCCGAGCATGTCGTCGACATGCAACGCGATGAGTCCACAAGGAGTGGTTGTTCCATCACCTTGCCGATGATGAAGCACGAACAGGCAAGGATCGAGGTCGTGGGGGATCCACCCCTCTTGAGTAAGGCGTCGCGTCGCCTCCTGCCACCAGCGCCTTGGCGCATCAAGTTGTCCGTACACGGGCTTGATGAGGGCCATGCGTGTCTCAGGGCCACATCCCAAGATCTGCAAACAGTCGCTGGGCAACCGAAGCCATAGCTGTCTTCTTTGGGGCATCCCTTGCAAGAAGGCGGTTGCCACACCTGCTGACCAGCCATGCCAACGTAGCATTGCACGGAGACTGAGTGTCCAGGTTGCCAGCTAAGGCATCGGCATCATTGTAGCCACGAACCACTAGGCGAGCCTTCGCCCTTGGTGAACCGTCAGGGTTCTTCGCCCGCTTCAAGAGCATCCTGCTGGACAAGGTCCTTTGAGTGTCGGCCTTGTCGGAGGTGGTGAACTCCCAAACTCCACATTCAAAGAAGCTACGAAGCTCTTTGCATTTGGCTTCATAGAACAGCTGCTGCTCAGCTTGAGTGAGGCTTTTCTCACGGATCTCGGACTTGTCCTTCTTGATGTGGCGCAGTTGCTGCGTCTTCACTTGCTGAGCTGCTTTGCGGATCGGCCGGATTGAGGTTGGTGAGCTTGTAGACGTGGTTGCAGTCATTCCCAACTCACGACGGGTCACGGCCTTGATCTGAAAGATGGTGCAGCCTGTCCACTTGGTAGGCAGCTTCTTTGACGTTTCCTTGGAGTGCCGCTGGAAGGTCGAGGATGGATCCTGACCAGGTTCTCTGTAGATGGTGACACGGATGTCGTCCAGATGCTCTATCGGCACAGGTAGATCAGTTCGATCTGAAGGAATGAACTTCTTTGAGCGAGGTCGGACGTGATGTCGAATAAGACAGCCACCTGTGACTTCCCAGAAATCGGCCAGCGTGTGCTTCAGCTCCAGGTTGTGGGTAACTTTGTTGAAGGTCCAGCCTGATGGCAATCGAGTCTGGTCAAGATCTTGCACTTCAAAGGCCATTTCAACGGCTTCACTTGGAGGTTTCTCGTATGGACTTGGATGTTCATGATGTCGTGGTCGTTGAGGTCCAAAGGAGAGAGTCTCCTGGCGATCCAATCGGAGTCGCTGCTGTTGAAAGGTTTCAGGTACTGGAGGAGCTCGATATGCCTCAGAAGTCACTGGATCCAAGTGCACAGGAGTGTGAGGCACTGTCGGCGGTTCTCGCTCTGTGGATGGCTCTGGTTAATCAGACATCTCATCTAGCTCAGGAAGTTCTGGTACAGGAGGTAGTTCAAGAGTGTCATGAGCTGCGGTTTGCACTGGAGCAGCACCTGCTGCTTCTGAAGTGCCGGAAAGGAAGAATTTCCGGAGACTTCTGCTGGTTCGGAGGTTCAGAAGGAGTGTACTCCAGTTCATCATCATTGAGAGTTTCTCCAAGGCGCCGTCGTTTGTGTTCAGGACCTTCATCTGCAGACATCTCTTCCTCATGCTCTTCGACGCCCCCAAGTTCTTGCTTGTTGGCCTTGTTGAGGTCCACAAAGCGAGTGACTCCTCTTGACTTGAGTTGATGAAGGGTCTGAGTGGCGTCCTTGAGGTTCTCCACAGCGGTGTCCTCGATGGCGGTGAAATCAGGTCGAACGTGATGAGGTGCAGCTCGGATCAACTGGGTTTTGTGTGCCAGCCAATATGTGTAGGGGTTGCCATCCTTCTCCTCAACACAGACAACCTTGGCTGGTCCTCGCCAACGGATTTTGCATAGTTCACGCTGCTGGGCATCACGCCAGTAGAAGCAACGTTGGCCTGCCATCAACCGCTGATTGACGCCAGAATAGCGTCTCAGAAGTGCACGTCTCAGCTTCCGATCTGTCTCAGCCTGCAAGATTGCAGTCTTGGCCACGTTCCGCTGGTGAAGGTGCTTCTCAAAGGTCTCGTGGCCATGAAGTGCACAATCGTTGGGATTGAAGGAGACCAGGTTGAGCAGGTTGGTATCCAAGAACCCATTGGGTAGGAGAAAAACCAGCAACGGTCGGTTGAGCGTTCAACTGCGGCAGGATGTAGGTCAGAGCTAGTCTTATGCCATCTTTTCCTTTGAGTTGGAGGTCATGCATGTAGACTTCAATTGCCTTTCTGAGGACGGAATGTCTTCTTTCAACTTGACCAAGTCTCTCGTGGGCTTCTCCTGGTGCAACCTTGTGGGCCATACTACGCTCATCGGTCCAGGTGAGAAACTCATTGCTGAGCCAGCCACGACCTTCATCGGTGACAAGTTCTTCCGGAATGCCAAAGTGTGCAATCCAATGTCGTTCCAAGGCTGCAATGTAGTCGTTGGTCTGCTCAGAATTCACCTGACAAGCTACCTGGTATTTGGTGGCACTGTCCAGGATAGCAAGGATGGGCCATTTCTTCTTCTCGGCGCGGATCCAGAAGACATCGGCCTGGATGGACTGATTGAAGTGGTCTGCCTTCTGAACACTGTAGCCAGTGCCGGCTGGTTGGGTTTCTTGTAGCGAAGGCATGAACTGCAGAGATAGTTCTCAGCCACGGAGAGCACATCGGTTGAGGCTCCACGGGAGTGTAGCAAGTCCACCAAAGCCTGAGCTGAAGGGTGTCCCCAGTTGCGGTGAAGCTTTTGTACAACTCGAAGTGCATTCTGCTTGCCAGTGGCATGTAGATCAACGATCTTGCCAAGAGATTCAGAGTGTTCGCGGACAGCGAAGGCATTCTCCCATAGTTGTGAGGCTTCTCAAAGCTGGCCAATGCAGTAGCTAGGGTAGAGCAGAAAGCTGGTTGATAGTCCTCCATGAAGGACGTGCGGTGAGCGCCAAAGCCTTTCATGTAGCCTTCTAGGCGGCAGTGTTCGTGATCTCCAGGGCAAAGCTTGTTCATCGTCTCGGCCACAATCCGTTTGGATGTCAGGATCGTGGTGTCTTTCTTGGCGGCCTTGATGATGTCTGGCCTTGTAGCCTGGTAGTGCATGAAGGGCAGAAGTTTCCCAAGCAAGTGCTGAGGTCCTGTGTCTTCCTGAAGTGATCTGCTTGAGGTACACACGTTTGCAGAACTGAAGGTGTGTGCGATGGTGCCAGTCTCGAAGACTTCGAAATATCTCCTGTCGCTGTTCTGATGTTGCTGAGATGTTCTGCATGCGTGACCATGGACCACAGCTTGGAGACAGATACATCTCGTCCGGCATTTCTTCATCTTGGAGAGCCAGGAAGGCACGCTGATGTGATTGCAGCGCGAAGTTCCATCCCGTCTCATAGCCGAACGTCTTGACGGTCATGCCGATGGCTTCAGCCACTTGAGATAGCCGCGCACGTCCAGTGTAGACTTCCCAGAGAACACGAGGAGGTGCATAGTGTTCTTCTCTGAGGGTGTTGCCCACAGCAGCATTGAGAGTGTTGAGCTGGGCCTGCGATTGCATGACCAAGGTCTTCCAGCGCTTGGTGGTCAAGGGCACGGTGTCCTCAGGCATGAGGTGGTCATCAACTTGGTATAGAGTTTCCTCAGTCAGGAAATCCTCATATGAGCCGTGTTCACCGAGTTGCTCATCCAATTGCAGGTCAAAGGAAGGCTCCCAGCTCAGCTGCTCAGAGTCAAAGGTGGACGTGAGGTGCAACAAGTATTCTTCATGGCGACCAAGGACAGCATCTTGCCAATCACCGTTGCCAAACCTGATCTTGTGTTGCGAGAAGTCGATGGTCATGTCGAGTGCCTTGATCACTGGGCGTCCGACAAGCATTGGAGTTTCTCCAGAGAGAACAAATCCTTGGATCAGGCCATGTTGTCCGTTCAGGTAGACGGGCACCTTGACTGTCCATGAACTGACCTTCTGCTAGTCACCGCCGAAGTGGAAGGTTCGTTGACATCGACGGAGGTGCAACTGTGTGGTATCATAGCCAAGCTGCTGGAGGTGGTTGACATAGCGCACCAAAGGCTTTGAACCCATCAAGAACGATGAAGCTCCAGGATCTAGCATTGCACAATCAGGTCTCTCGTGGCCTGCAGCATCTTCCAACATGACAAGGGAGGTCTCGTCGTTCAGGATGGCCATGCTCTCAACTGCCTGACGCTTGCCAGTCGCCGTGAGTGCAGGTTTTGGAGTGGCCTGCTGAGTGCATATTGCGCGGTCTTGTGATATGTTGAACCACAGCGCACGCAGGCGGCAGCCAGGGCTGAACGGCCTCTTCCTTTTGGGTCTGGTTGTTTGGCAGGAGCTTTGTCATATCGGAAAGTGCTCTTGCTTTTCCCTTTCCCTTCTCCTTTCTTCCCTTTTCCCATGCCCTTGAAGGGCCTCTGCGAAGGAGTAGAGCTCGAGGATGGTGCATCTTGTAGTGCAACGACGCGAAGAAAGCCTCTGCTCAGTTTGAGGTCGTTGAAGCGCTTGCGAGCATCAACATATGAAGCGTAGGCCTCATCGTACTTGCCGGGATCAAACTCAAACTCTGGTTCCTCATAGTCATCCTGGTAGTATGCAGCATCTGCATCAAAGTTCTCCCACCAGGTCTCATCAAGAGTTTCTCCTTCGTTCATGTAGCAGGCATCATCCTCCTCATAGTAGGCGCCTTCATCATCCCAATCTTGGTTGTCCTCATCGTCGCCGGCGAAGTAGGACCGGCCCTTTCCGGAGTTGGAGCGGTTCCAAAGGTCACGAAGAAGATTTCCTCCTCCTTTGTAGTCCTGACCCAGGATGGCGAACATCGCTGGGAAGGCTATAACTCCATGTTTTTCAATCTGCTTCAACCGGTCATCGTGGTCGGCGTGGTCGGTCGCGAAGTTCAAGAGTGTTTGACGGGCTTGCGGGCAAGGTTCTCGAAGTATGCCGAGAAGTCTGCTGGCATCTCCACATTGGAGTCATACTGAAAGGAGCCGTCGAGGATCTTCAAGAGATGAGTCAGGGCCTCTGGTTCATTGGCTTTGTTGATGTTGAAGTCCTCACAAAGCTTCCAAGCCGTGCCGGTCAAACTGCCCAGCAGATTCAGGATGGCCTCTCCTTGTCTCTTGGACAAGGACATCTTCTTGTAGTAGATGGTGATCCGCTTCTGCCATTCGTGGTATCCCGTTACGGAGCCATCGAAGAGCGGGATGAAACTGTCACGAGTCGAGTAGTTGTCAAGCTCGACTTTCTTTTCTGATGACATACTTGGCCAAGTAGGTGAGGTGGTAGATGGTCACCAGTTAGGCCAAACCAAGAAGCAGCGCTCAGCAAGGAGGTAGAGCTCGTCAAGAAGCACTGCTCCTGAGCGTGAAGAAGAAGCTTAGGTTGTGGGTGAAGTTTCCGAGGAGGTTGGAGTGAACCTGGAAGGTGTGGAGGTTGTAGTTGTAGCGCGGAGCGGCAGGGAGCGGTCCGTGGAAGACCGCTCCGCTACCAATGTCACTTGAACAAGGGTAGCTCAGCTGGTTTGTCCAAGTGGGCTCGAAGACAAACGAGGTTCTTCGAAGACGGTCAACGAAGCGGCGCTCAAGGTCGTGCTTCTTTCTCAAGCCATGTGCTCAGGTCTGCGCAGGTGCCCACCGCTAGTGGTGGATGGGGATCGTAGGGCCAGAATGGCCGTGGAACATGAAACATCATACTGTGCAAACAGTGGCATGAGTTGTTCGTGAAAAACTAACAGGTGCGCATTTTGGAGGTAATGAAACTCTTCTTTGATTGATTTTTTAGATTAGTTATTGATGGAGTCGATCTGACTCTTGAAATCACGTACCACTGGTGGATCATCTCTATCACGCCACTTGCGGCATACGCAGGCCTTTTGACAACAAATCCGCCCACACCGAAGGTGCTGGGGCGTGTGTATCCGGATGGCCAATCAAAGATTTCAGCTTTAGCTGGGTTTCGGGCAAGAAACCTGAGTTTTGGAAGGTTGTCGAAAATAGAATCCAAAAAACATCGTAAATAACGGCGTTTGATGAAGGTTTTGGGGCACGCGCATGTTTGAGGCGTCCTTGAAGCAGTTTAAAACATGTTGGGCTTTTGACGATTTGGTCAAAAATAGCCAGGTCGGACCCGCATAAACAAAAACATCAGCAGCAGCAGGTAGCCGGGATGGTGGGACACCAGTACACTGCCCTGCTGATACCACGGCAAACTAGGAATGCAAAGACAACAGCAAAATAGTTGAAAGACTGTATAGCTGGGTTCAGCAGATAGCCCTTCATGGATGCTGTTTCTGGTTTTCAAACCATGGGGATTCCGGCGCGGGCGGACCCAGCCGCGTAGCGGCGCGAATACAAGAGCATCATGACTAGTTTTGTACAAAAATACTGCCTTTCTGCAATTTTTCTAGCAAAATCTGTATTTTGTTCGTCTTCCTGAAGCCCTAGTGACCACGATCTACCAGGCTCTTCTTATCTTTGTCTTCTAGGGTGGACCTATGTGAGCAATCGGCAAAACCAAACAAATTATTTTTGCATGGATTAGCTAAAGCAATCGTTTTTAGGAGTTCACTATATCGGTCCAATAAACCCTGAAAGCTCCAGGATCCCCAGCCTAGTTCATCCTGTGCCTCCACGGCAGCCTTCGCTGCCAGGAGTCGGTTCACCACCTCGCAGTGGCCCTCCTCCGCCGCCAAATGCAGCGAAGTTTTGCCTCAGATTCTGAGCGAAGCAAATACTGGTGATGCTCTTGAGTGGTGTGACTTATGCAATCATGGTCCTACAAACACCGCAAACAAGATCCTATTGCGACCTTCCTTTGCCACTGTTCAAAGGATCAAGCTTGGGCAGGGTGTGCCCATCACGCCTTCTGCGCTCTTCAGAATAACTCGCTTAATCAGCAAGATGATCGTTATTCTTACAACTCCTGAGGCTCCAAGGTCCTGGCGTTGCCGGCCCCTGGCATCAAGGTCCACTCCAACTGACAACAGCCGCTTGATCTCCTCCATGTTTCCATTCTCAGCCGCGCTAAGTAGCTGCCCTGCGACCACCGAGAGTAAGTGCTATTGAGCTACAAGCGGTTGGTATAAATGTGTGAGCTCTCTTTCTAGGGGTCAAGCGGTCGATCGCTCAATCAGACTGTGACTCTATCTCATCTGGCTCACCTCAAAACCCACACGACGGTGTTGGGCCGCCCAATTATACCACCACCAGCAGCAACCCCGAATCCTCAGCCCCCTTGCCTTTGTCATGGGCCTGCAACCAAGAATGTCTTATACGTTTCCGGTCGAGCACCATCTTGCACCACAAAGCTGCCAAATTGGGCACGCATGTCCGATGGTGTATACGTCAGTATACGTCTTGATTCCATATGTAAATGTTCCTTCAAGTGAAGTGCTCATACATATGCAATATAATGCAATGTATATTGTATGATGAAGTTGCGCTCTCAAGTGTGGTCCAAATGCCGAGTGCGAAGGCTTTCCAGGCACTCCGATAAAAAAAACAGCTGCTCCCCAAAAGAAATTCATTGTCTAAATGCTAAATCACTTTTGTTGTCTGGCCCAGGCAAAGCCAACAACAAACCACTCACCAAACAAATCGAACCTAATGAACGTCATGAACCCACTTGTGGCCCAGAGGGGGGTGGCGAAAGCTAAGGAAAGAAACAACGCTGGGGCTCTCTTAGCAGCAAAAGCCTGGCCGCGAAGCGCAACATGTCATGGCCGAGGGCAAAGGAGAGTGCCAACAGCGCCCCCTCACTACAACCCCAACACAAGCAAAACATGGCAACACGCAACCACCCCGGCAACAGCAACAGCAGCAGCAGCAACCAAGCAGCAGCAGCAGCAGCAGCAGCTACCAAGCAGCAGCAGCTACCAAGCAGCAGCAGCAGCACCCAAGCAGCAGCAGCAGCAGCAGCAACCAAGCAGCAGGAGCAGCAGCAACCAAGCAGCAGCAGTAGCGACCAAGCAGCAGCAGCACCAGCAACCAAGCAGCAGCAACCAAGCAGCAGCAGCAGCACCCAAGCAGCAGCAGCAGCAGCAGCAGTCAAGCAGCAGCAGCGACCAAGCAGCAATCAAGCAGCAGCAGCGACCAAGCAGCAGCAGCAATCAAGCAGCAGGAGCAGCAGCAACCAAGCAGCAGCAGTAGCGACCAAGCAGCAGCAGCAGCAGCAGCAACCAAGCAGCAGCAACCAAGCAGCAGCAGCAGCAGCAGCAGCTACCAGGCAGCAGCTAACAGGCACCAGCAGCAGCAGTACCAAGCAGCAGCAGCAGCAGCAGCAGCTACCAAGCAGCAGCACCAGTAGTAGCAAACCACCAAGCAGCAGCAGCAGCAGCAGCAGCAGTAGTAACAAACCACCAAGCAACAATAGCAACAGCAGCAAAAAGCAGCAACAAAGAAACATACAAACAGGAGCAGCAGAAGCGACGAAGAAGCAGCAACGGCAGCAAAAGAGCAGCAACAAAGAAACATATAAACAGGAGCAGCAGCAGCAGCAGCAAAAGAGCAGCAACAAAGAAACATAGAAACAGGAGCAGCAGGAGCGACAAAGAAGCAACAACAGCAGGAAAAGAGCAGCAACAAAGAAACATAGAAACAGGAGCAGCAGCAGCGACAAAGACGCAGCAACAGCACGTTGGGAACTGAGAAACGGTCAGGGAGGAAGGGTGGAGTTGAACCCGCGGGGGGCGGGGGGAGGGTATATTCACCCTGAAGAGGCAGGAGCTTTACTGGACCTGATCGATTTCACCAAGTAAGATCACGTGGACACGACGGTGTGCGAGCGGCAGCGATGCACACCTTTTCTATGGCTGCGAAGCGCAGGTATTACGAGGGTATGGGGAAATGGGTTTGGGAAACGGGCCCTCCACGCCTCGACGCCTCCACACCTCGACGCCTCCACGCCTTGACGCCTCGACGCTTCGAGGCTTCGCAGCTTCGCGGCTTCGACGCCTCCACGCCTCGACGCCTCACATTGCTTCGCGGCTTCGACGCCTCCACGCCTCGACGCTTTGACGCCTCCACGCCTCGACGCTTCGCGGCTTCGACGCCTTAGTAGTAGTTGGTAGTAGCTAGTAGTAGTTAGTAGTAGGAGTTAGTAGTTAGTAGTTAGTTAGTCGTCAGTCGTCAGTCGTTAGTCGTTAGTAGCTAGTAGTCGTTAGTCGTTAGTCGTTAGTCGTTAGTCGTTAGTCGTTAGTCGTTAGTAGTTGTAGTAGTAGTAGTAGTAGTAACACTAGCAGCAACCATATTAACAATAGCAGTAACAATAGTAGTAGTAGTAGTAGTAGTAGTAGAAGTAGTCGTTGTAGCTCTAGCCCTGACGCTTCGCAGCTCTGACGCTTCCCGGCTTCGCGGCTTCAGCGCCTCCACGCCTCGACGCCTCGACACCTCGACGCTTCGCGGCTTCGCGGCCGCAACGCCTCCGCGCCTCGACGCTGCGCAACTGTGATGCTGCGCGGCTTCACGGCTTCGACGCGCGTGCGCTTTTACCCGAACGCCCGTGCAATGTTGGGCTTCAAAGTCTTGAGCCAAATGAATTACAGCGAAAGCTGACTGAAGATATCTACACGACAAGAACTATCTACGAAGAACAGGTGCTACACACGTATAGCGTAGACACGCCTATGGGGACCTAGGACACTACAGATACAAAACAGACACAAATTTTCTTCGCGTCGAAGCTTGCGATCGCTAAAGTACAAAAAGCTTGCGTGAGCAAAAGAGTGCAAGTGAATTACAAGAATTCTGGCTTCGCAGAACTTGACCGTAGATGCCATTCTGGCTCATCTATGTTGCGTCAGATCGTCTGTACAAATCTACGAAAGGCAAATCTGTGCTGTCAAACTTTCCGGAATATCGGAAGTTCTCTCAAGGCATTTCAAGTCATTATAAATCTTAAATCAAATCATTAAAGGCGTTAAGCTCTCAATTTATTTTTGGATCATTACGACATGCAACTTATTCAGTTCACCAGCCGGAATATCGGCTTCTTGTAGGCTCTGTCTACCAGTTACGAGAGCCTCTATATCCGGAACTCCAGGAGTATCCGGATTGCCACCAAGACGAGCTTGCGCTTGAGGACCACCAGTCCTGTTGTTGCTGACGTTTCTGCTGTTTTAGGCTCTCCACTCGGTCTTTTTGCTTCTGCACTCGGTGGGCTTCTGAGGCTTCGCCACGCACTCGAACCTTATAACGACTTCCCAGCATGAAGTTGCACTGAAAAGGCAGGCCTTCGTAATCGACTCGGCCACGGTCTTCCGGAATATCGGATGACCGGCTCCGCAACGTGTGCATGTCCTTGCCGTAATTAAGGGCGATCTGCAGCAAGCAGTCGCAATCGGCATCCTGACCTTCCAGAGCAGCGAGCTGCTCAGTAGCAAGGGTTGAAACCTCCCAACCATAAGTGATCCGCTTGCTTGGCTCGCGCTTCTTGTTCGCTGAAACAAGAATCTGGTCAACGCCGGATCGGAATGCCGATCGGACCGGAAGTCGCGGTTCGTGAACTGATTCACATCACACGCGATGACGTCCACCTGGTCTGCCACGGCCGTGATCAAAATCTTCGTTAAGGCATTCTTGCCGGCCGTAATTCCTGATTGAAAAGCATGGGCGTTAAGATGGAAGGCGCAAACTCGCAATTCAGGCATATGCATACGTTTGCAGTCATCCAAGCTTCCCGTCCGGAATGTCGGACTCTCTTGGAACAATGCCTCAGCATCTACCGGTTCAGCCAAGACGAAAGTGGTGGATGCTTGTGCAACGCCTAAAACATCAGGACAGACCATTGCCTATCATATTTGATGCTGGATCTTCGCCCTCTTCAAGGGCTGCTCGGAGGTTCTTTCTGACTCCTTTGTCATCGGTGATGCCGCCGTGAGTCGTTTCTTCGACTTTGCCACAAGGCACGCGGAATGTCGCGGCATGGGCGACCCAAGCAAGACGGTCGCCTTCGAGCTCGATTCGGCGGAGTAGCTCCAATCTCGACGTCATACCGTCGGTAGAGCAAACGCAGGCGATGGAAGGAGATTCTCCATCGGACAAGGCGACGACACACATTCGCTGGTAGGTATTGAAAAGTTCACAGCGTCGTTCAATACCATCCGCCTCCAGAAGAATCGTAATGTGTGCCGTGTTTCGGACTAAGTAGTGTGGCAAAACGGCATACTGATCCGAATCTGCGAGCTCCTTGGGGAGAGGCTGCCTGCCGTTAAAGTGGGGCCATCGATTGATATCGCCAAGGTTGAGCAGCAAGACACTGATGTGTTCAGTCGAGCGAAGAAGTCTTGCCTCATCAAGGTCAAAATCGCCTTGGTTGGCGCGATAGCCCTGCATGTAAGAACGGCTCAACTCTACGATCTGTCGCATTTCCTCGCCGTCATACCGGCGTTGCGAGTCGTAGTAGCAGCTTGGTCGAAGGATCGGATACGGCGCAATCTCAAGTTGCCTGTTCCAGGATGATTCGAATAATGGTATTTTCGAGATCCTTCAAGGATAATGCGATCCATTGCAGCATATCCTGTGGACCCGCCGCCAAGGACAAGGTCCTTCATGGCTTGCAAGCGGCGTAGTCGACCGGAATGTCAGTCAGACGGGGTCCAGCCCTCAGATTCTGGCAAGAAGGGAACCGTAAAATCAATCTCGGCGGTGATTTCTTCTGGCTCCTGCTCACCCAGAGGAGCCGGAATATCGGTGTCGGGAACAGTGGAACACAGATAAATGCTGTTGCATGTACAACCCTGAGGATCCGATATTGAAAAAAATCAATATTGGAAAAAAAAATTCAATAATATTGAACTTGATTTTTTTCAATCGTAGGATTGATTTTTTCAATATTGGGGATTGAAAAAATCAATATTTTTGATCAATATCGACCAATATCATGATCAATATCCAGACCAATATTACAACCAATATCAAGGCCAATATCAATGTCAAAATCAGGCAGTTCATGATGCCCTAGCCATGATCTATCAACATCAGGCAGTTCATTTTCAAACAAAGCCACATGCACTGGCAGCATTTGGCTTACAGGTGCGTCCATGTGTTTAAGGGCAGGGCTTGAAAGAAAGCCCTTTTTAAGGGTGGTGCCAGGAGATTTTCTGTGCCACCAGTGGATATGGATGCCCTGCAGGGCATCATTGACAGGGCTGTGGAGTCCAAGGGCGCTGCAGCTTTTCTATTAGGTGAATACGACACCAAAAAGGTGACCACTGCTGTGAGTGCAGCAGGCCTACATCAAAATGCCGCATGGG